TCCATCACCTCACACTCACCTCACACTCACACTCACACTCACCACTCACACTCCACGCACTCACACTACACCACTCACACTCACACTCACCACTCACACTCACACTCACACTCACACTCACACTCACACTCACACTTCACACTCACACTCACACTCACACTCACACTCACACTCACATCACACTCACATCACCACTCACACTCACACTCACACTCACACTCACCACTCCACACTCACACCTCACACTCACCTCACACTCACACTCCACACTCACAACTCACACTCACACTCACACTCACACTTCCACACTCACACTCACACTCACACTCACACTCAACACTCACACTTTCACACTCACACTTCACACTCACCACTCACACTCACACTCACACTCACACCTCAACACTTACCACTTACACTTACACTACCACTTCACACTTACACTTCACTTACACTTACACTTACAACTTACACTTACACACTTACACTTACACTTACACTTACACTTACACTTACACTTACCACTTACACTACACTTACACTTACACTACACTTACACTTACACTTACACTTACACTTACACTACATTACACTTACTTACCTTACACTTACACTTACACTTACACTTACACTTACACTCACCTTACACTCACACTTACACTTCACCACTTACACTCACCACTACACTTACCACTTACACTTTACACTCACACTTACACTTACACTTAATTAGCCACTTCACAAGCACACGTGCCGGCGGAGACCGGTCGGGAGCTTAGAGGTTGTCCCCGGGTGGGCGGTGCCCGCTGGTGGGAGATACCCGGTTAGGGAAGCCCGGTTGTATAGGAGATCCGACGGAAGGGTCTGCGCCGGATCTCGCTATACATCGAGACATCACCGCCACCTCCCGAGCAAAAATGCACCACACTTACGGGACAAATGGCCCAGTTAGTTGACGTGTCTGGAATCACTAAAACAAATCAACATACAAGGACGGTGAATGAACCCCATATTTTTGATTGATTTACTTTTGTCAAAAACGGTGTGAAAATTTGTTTTTGAGATGTGAACGGGGAAAATGTAATCTGCGCACGTTTTCTGAACTCAAGAATCTCTTCCGTACTCCTTTACAATACATGTTGAAGGATGAATAGAAGTATCAAAAAAGGAGGTTACATCATTTGAAAATTATACTATTTCCGCTCTCTTGTTATATAAAAAAATGTATCTATAAACGAGCTATGGATAGAGATGTTTAGCAGTGCTAACAAAAATAGCAACTCATAACCCCGGCTCTTCTCGTACCACAACTAGCGAAAGGCGAATCAAGAAAACCATTCGTTTCGCGAAGATTTATGTCCAGAAGCAAATGAAGAGGCCATTTCAGCATTTGATCAACGGATCAGGGAAACTAGACGAAGCAGACTAATTAAACAGAACGATGGCACAGAAGGCGCATTCCGTGAGGAAAAACGATGGCAGTTTGAGGGACGAGTTCGTTGCCGCCCTGTGGCTAACGTGACCGTGCGCGGGCCGTGGCGTGCGCGGCGGCCGGTCCGGTCCCGTTGCGCCCGGAGGCACCCCGGTTCTTTTTGCCGCCGCTCCGACCGCCCATCGCCCCCGCCCCCGCCTCCGCCCCCACCCCCCCTCCCCTCCCCGCCCCGCCCCCTCCCCTCCCCTCCCCGCCCCCGCCCATTATCTAGATTAAATGTATAACTATGGACATTCATTCTTGTTCATCTTTACGATCCGTTGCTCCTTCTCACGTCAAGAAGTATCACATTCACTTTGTTTCTTCACTTGCTCTTCTCTTTTCAGACATTTATGTGGAGTAGGAAATCTCTGGAAAAATCCTAATTGAAAAAAATGCACTGTCATGCAATTACTAGAATTCCTCGGATTTTAATAACGTTAATCTTCATTCTCTAAATTATTCTGATGCAACAAAGTGTCGGAAGGGTGTATTTGACCATAGACGTTACACAATATGAATACTATTTTTGTTCTTCTTCTGTTCGTTTGTTGTGTTATTTATAATGAATGGTAGTGCAGACTTCGGAAGTCGTTAAGCGAAACCGAATTATTTAGTAGAATAACAAAAAGCAGTTCTGTGGCAAAAGCCAAGAAATGTGAAAGCTACTTGGATGTAGCACATTAATTTCGGAATGATGTCATTTTAATGCTGTCGTTTCTAACGCTGTATCGCTTGATATTATAAGAAAAATACATGCCTTCGTACCTACTCTGTTCCTGTTAGTAAAGCAGTGTTGCAATTACGTTCTCGTCACCTAAATGTCTATGCATTACAGTGAACCATAATTTACGCTTCCTTTTTCCTCCTTTTCTCAACGTTTCTGTGATAAGGCACGAGGCAAACTAATATGTAGTAGTATTATGTAACGAGTTCATTTCACGTGACAGTTCTTCCATGGTTCAGTAACAACACCTTTTGAAACTTGATTGTCTGAGGAGATCAGAACTCGCTCTGGCCAGAATAGGAATTTTGTTTCTCGATGAAATCTCAAAAGCGGCTTCAGTTGTAAACTTGAATATCATTCCAGCTCCAATGATATTCAGTTCCTGAATATCATTGTAATAATAATGAAATAAATGTTAAATTGGACTCCACAACCTCGAAATAAAGACTTTTAATAATGAACTATTCTTAATCTTTAGGGGTTATCTTCTTGGCAACAATAGTAGGTGTAAGTGTCAATGTTTTCAAGATACCTTCATTTTACAATTTTCAATAGCACAACATTTAGAGTGCAGTCTACCTCCCTTTTCAAGATAATATTATAAACAAACAAATCCATCTCACACGCCTTCGAACGACTACACATATAAAATAATAAAAAATAATGTAATAGGGGACGAAATCCCTTTGACACCGTCTCAATCTGACCTGCAAAACTCTATTGCATGATGTGTTGCCTCCCAATTAGGGACAAAATTGAGATTTGCAACTTCGTTGTATAAAATTTCTCTACACTTGTTCATAAGAAAAGTCATCACCTTCGACCCCCTCTCCATGGTTTAAAAGTTTGTAACATGTAAGTCTGTGACGTATTAGAAAAGAGATATTTAATGTATTATTACTTCAGTTCTTTTGGAGGGCGATGCGCTTAAACGTTTCATGAGAATTTACGCCTTGCAATGAAACCAATTGACATCTTTGCAGCATTTCTTTTAAACTTTTCATTGTTGACGAATCTTATTTGTTATAATAAATTTTTGGGTTAAAACCAGTTCACTTTGCATCCCTTCGTATGACAGTGGATATCTCGAAGTGTCATGTAACTAGAGACTTGAAATCAGTTGCTCAATAGGTACAGGTTGGCGAACTCTCTTATAGGTACCTTATCAGTGTTGTCCTCATTCTAACGGATAGCTTTGATTTACTGGGAAGTTCCACTCTCATGTGTTACCCACGTACGCTATCTTTCTAAGGCGCGTTTGTGTCGCAAACGCATATAACTTTCCGCTGGTATGAGAACATCAGTGGAACATTTGTTTGTGAGGATCAAGGTGAAGAACAAGTTAATATTTTAAAATGAAATTTGATATCGCGAAAATGAAAGATAGGCAGAATTGAAATGAACTTGGTATAGATATTTTTTTCCTGACTCTTAATCAGTGATTAAGATCAGGGCATACATTATTTGAACGTAAACTGCCTGCATCCCTGTTAAAAAAAGTACAAATTGTAAATGATGCAGAATATGAAAGGGTGGAAAATAGAGAAATGTTATTTGAATTTTCACAAAAATAATTATCAGTCATTATAAAAACATTAATTCTTAAGATTTATTTGACTGAATTATTTAAAATGTCCAAAAAATTAAGTTTCATAAAGAGTTGTGAAAAGAGATTCTGGTTATATCAGGCTTTACAGGTATGTGGTGTACAAAACGAATGTGCTTTAGGGGTTTTTCTCGAAGTTGCACAAATTCGTATGGAAAACCGACTGGTCTACTTTGGTAACCACCTCTGATATAATAACAATGTTCTCTTCCTTAGAATTTTAAGTACATGTGAAGATATCGATCGAAAAATAATATTTATTAATTAGGATTTAGGGATTGTTCAGCTGCTGAAGTAATTAACACTCGTAGGTGATTTGATGAGGTGAATGATGATGCTAATAGTTGGAACGAGGCGCGGGAGAACTCCGAGAAATTAAACTCGGAGCTCGCTTTGTCCACATGGATTGGCCGGGAATCCCACCCGTGCTCAGAAGGTGTATGCGCTAGCCATTACCCTACGACAATCACCGCAAAATAATAATGACATATTTTGAAAAATTAAAATATTTATTAACATGCAAATCGTCTAATGGAGAATTATGGGTAATACTGATAGAAATATCTTTGCCAATAGCTGTAGCTTCGTACCATTTGGTTTTCGCCATTTCAGGCGTGCATCGCCATGAATTCCATATACGATGGTGAGCTAGAAGCTGTGAAGCTCTCTGAATTTTATGATAGCAACGTTTGCTAACGCTCGCAAAAGGAAGTTGGTAATGGGAAATATTATGTGCTGACCAGGGACCACCCAGAGAAGTTCTCAGTTTGATTAAAACAAGGCAAACACTACTTTGCTCGATAGCGAAACGGAATTTCGGATATCCCACCAGCACGTAACTTCTTGTTGGTGGGTCTTCTGCATCTTATGATTACACATAAATGTGATTATTGTTTTTTTTATTTTGAACAAAATTAATCATAAAACATAGAATTACGCATGGTTACGAAACATTTAGAATTACAAGAAAGCAAAGCATTTTTGCAATAAGTGCGGAAAGATTGAAATGAAAATTGTACTAGATGTATTACTATAATTGTATGATTTTTCTTTGTGATATTTTTCAAAGAAGTCGCACCCCGAACATTTAATCCTAGAGACTTGTTCATTTGAAACCCTGGTGCCCCTCTCCTTTTTTCATCTCCTTCCCCCTTTTCTCCGACTTTCTTGCTCGACTGGAAAACTGTTTGTTCCAGAGGCCGAGCTACACGGGCTTTCTTGTGCTCCTTCCAGGCTCCTTCGCACTGCCAGCCAGGCCGGGCGGCGCAGCTGTGAACTATGGCGGCGAAGCAGCAGTACTCTCTTTTGCACGGTAACTCTTGCGATGGTCGTGGCTGCACTGATAGGCCTCGGGAGCTCGGAGCCGATAACATTGTTTGTGAACGTGTTGTGCTGTTTGCGCTACGTGTTTCGTCCCTGAAGAGCTTTGTTCTGTGCGCTTAATTTGTTCTTCGTTCAAATTTGTTTTACCCTTGATATACTTGTGGCGTGTTTGTGGAAAATGAGATTACCCAAGGTAGTAAACCATTAATTATCGCTTCATGATAGCAAATCGGCCAAAAATAACTTGGATTTTTCTGTTATTTAACCATGTAGTAAAAATGCCGAATAACTCCAGTCGCAGACAACAGTAATCCTATAATACATAATTGACCAAAAGTGTAATATTATTTCACTGCTTTCATTTATATAACAAAAAGTGTTTGGGGATACTATTAATAAATACGCAAAAAAATGATAAAATTTTAAGTCATAACAGATATAAACAAACAAAAATTGATAATTTTAAATGCGTATACACTGTGTTTTCACATATATTCTATTCATTGTATTGCTATTTAAGAGTTAATTGGAAGTTCTCTTGACTTGAATGTTGGACTCACATCTTGTAAGTAAAGAACCAATCAGACTGATGCTGACTTGAGAGCCATTATCCCTCCGCCTTTCCAAATTAATAAATAATTTTCACGTATAATTTCTACGATGGTATTCATTACTTACACAAACGTTTGGATAATGGATGAATTCTTATTAAATTATAACTCAGTTTGTAGTTCAGCATGGATTTTGCAGAATTTCTTGTAAGGATTTTCGATATATTTAGGAATATGTCGCGTCACATTATAGTTTGATTTAGAAGAACATCAATTTATCTCCAAATTTTTCAGAGTTTCTCTCATTAGATCTGTGTAATTCTAGAATGATGAATATTGGTATTCTTACCGTTTTAGGCATTTGACAGAACGACAAGCAATACCTCTGTGCCTGCATTGTAATTCGTGTAACGCAGTCTGTTTTCTTTCATTTACGCCCCATTTTATGAATTATTTGTAATCCCGTTTTATAATGAATGAATCATTAAATCGATTAATAAATGACTCAACGTTGCTCTCTGCACTGATGCAACTTCTGGACCGGGGCTTTGCAAATTCAAGAATTGGGGTTTTATTGCCCGCGGTAGCCCGCTGGAATTGCCGGGGTGCCACTCGCATTTCTCTAGACTGAGCCGATCGCGCCCAAGTGCCTCCCCTCCTCCCCCAGCTGGCAGACTCGACGACACTGCGGGCCTGCGGCACTGCGGGAACTGCGGGCCACAGCCGTTGACGGCAGATGTGCTCTGGGCCAGGGTTCACCAACTAGGTAGCATACTTGCGTAACCCTGTTATAGTCAATGTTGTGTGTTATAATTAGAACTAAGGTCAACATTAAAAGAAAATCACATCCACGAATGCATGTACCTGAAGATCTTTCGACTATCCTGCCTCTGTATACCTTTCTATCTTCAGGGAAATATTCTGAAGGGGAGCTATCTTGCCTTCCTGCTGGATCCATTACAAATCACTCTGTTGAAAAATGTAAGATACACTTATGTAATATTTATTGAGGTGTCTTAATATAAACGTCAAGAAAATATTTAAAGCAAAACAAAACACAGTTCGCTTTAACCCCTTGCTTTCTCTAAGTGCAACAGGACAGTGACCGTGCTGCTTGGGAGAGCAAAGTGACCTTGCAAGAGGGAATGGCCAGAGTCAACCACGAACTCTAACGGAAGGGTATGGCGAATGCTTTGCTACGCCTCACCGCTCAATTTCTTTTTGACGCTGTTTCTTTAATCTTGCTTTGCTCAACGGCAGACATATGTGAATCAGTGGTTTTCACCTTCTAATCTCTTTTATTTACTTCAGAAGTAAACTTGACCTGGACGATTGACTTAAATTTCCACTATATTTCGTATCAGTTATCTTTTCAAGCCTGGAACAAAGAAGGTAAAGGAATTCGATTGCAGTGAGATTTCGTACATATGGAACTAGTATTTTTTTGTCATTCATAAATGAAATAATTTCAATCACTCAAATATCAATCATTGTGAAAGACATATTTAAAATTAAAAGGTCGACAATATACTGTAAACATTTTTAAGTGGAAATTCGTGTTAAATGTTAATATCCATAGTTTTGTTGCTGAATATATCAATGTTTGTAGGATTATAGATGGTCCAGGTTTGTGCTCGTTTGCTAGAACAGTTAACATAGAATAAGAAATGGTTTTGGAAAAAATACGTCCATCAAGAGTTGCGTTCCAGTGACACACATACCACTTTCGTTAAGTTGGAAATCTCTAGTCGAACCACGTGAATCGCGTTCATGATTAGTGTCGAAAGATAACCGCTGTCCCTTTGCCCTCCGCTGTGAAAAGGTGCTCAAGAGTTGCTCAACTGCAATCACGAGGAGGCGCTCCGACGATTGTTTCTTTAATGAGTTTCGTGTCCATTTGGTTCCTCCTCATCCTCAAAACTCTGAGCCTCAACACTTTCAATATCGCCTGTCCCGGCCGTTTTCTTGAGAGATTCTATTGCTTTTATATTAAAGGTCTAGCTCATTTTATTTCCGTCAGAAAATAACTTTTATTAGCAGTTATTTCAGAAATTTTCATTTAGTTTGGCGAGTGCATAAATATACTGTGCCAAAGAGTATTTTCATCATAAAACTCTGAGGAATTAAGCGTAGTCATTAAACTATATGGCGAAGGAATTGCTCAGTTTCTTACCGTATACTGACATTACTTATTTATATTGGAGATGATTGCAAAACCTCGTAATGTGAGGAAATATGAAGATTAAATAGGAGAAAAGAATACGTTATAATCTTGTTCCTATGAATATTCTAAACAGGTAGTGTTGAATACCTATCAGTAAAATTTAAAACTTACATTTAAAACTTATCGAAGACGTCCTTTATATGTGCTTTTTTTAAACATCAAGAATAGAGTTGAACGTTTTTCTCGATTTCCTTTCACCAAATTAGGAGTCATTAAATATTGTTGACGTCTCTGGTATATACATAATTTGTCGAGTGTCTACAAATACTCTTTACATACTTTCTTGTAAATAACATTTCGATGAATTTTCATAAAATCTTAGGCGGCGTTTACTCAACAATTTCATCATATTAGAATCTTATTACAGAGGAAATGTACGTGCGAGTGATAATCCGATAACGAAAGAACCGACAGAATTTGTAAAAATCATTTTCATTTAACCACTTATAATATTACAGTTCAACAATAACAATTTCCTTATTTTTGTTGAGACACAGTGCGTCGTGATGTTCTGCACTTAGTGAGCTAATTATTGAAGGTCAACTTCAGACTGTTTTTGACGTTGGTGTGCGCACAAAAGGGGATAAGGAGGCCGTTCTCTCTTGAAGTTGTGAAAAACGCTTCGTAGACATGCGTAATAAAATATTTTAATTCCTTAAATATGTTTAATGCCGATGTCTTTCTTTGATGCCTTCCTTTTAACCCGACACTTTGGAAGAAGACTCTCCAAATCGTTAATGCTATAATGTCATTTTCAAAAATAACTTAAATGTATAATGGAAAAGGGGGGGGCCCTAAATGCTTTTGACCTGTCAGATGCTTTTTGGATGCGCATACCTACGGGTTTTACATAAGTAATGCAATTGTTGTCAAGCTCAGTCTGTCTAATGCAGTTCTCAAATGAATACGTTAAAAAGAGAATCCTGAGGCTGAAATTTAAGAACTTGCATAGTTTTAAAATAATAATCAAAATATCGATAGGTTCAGTGCACTTAAAGGAACATTTAAAAAGTGATACACACTTTTTAATTAAAACCATTTCTCTTGTTCATGTTAATAATTATAATCTCTGAAAGTATAGGCAGCTCAATTTTGAAAGGTGTTTAAATGGCTTCAACAATTAAGCTATACAGCGATAAGGTCAAGAAAAGGAACAAGAAATACACTCTACCATACTTTTCTGTGTCGAAAGTGTCATTCAAATTATTTACACAAATTATTTAACATTACAACGCTTTGAACTTTCGCGGCGTCAGGAGCAAACTGTGTAGTCCGTCTGGTCAATTGAGAGCGAAACCATGCATTTATCTAATATTCAATCACAATCCGTGATATTTCTCAATGTTCACGACTTCAAGCAAGAGAGCACGACCACGAGAACAACACTCGACAACGAGCGTCAACGGGTCAAAGAGGGTTACGCCCTCCAATCTTCCCCATCTACACAAAGGAGGTCCCCTGATGACGCGATAAAATCTCTGCCGCTTCCTTATCGGCGAGATAAGGAGCTCGTGAAGAGCAGTCACGTGCGGCGGGGGCGGAGAGTGGGTGGCAGAGACGCGCCGTGTCGTGTCGTTCCGGGGGTACCGTCACTCGGGGGTCGTCTGCCGTTGTCGTCGTCGCCGCTGCTGCTGCGAGCTCGTCGTTGTCCGTTAGTCACGCGCCGGAAGTTCTTACGTAAGCGCGGGCCGCATCGCGCCCCGCCCCGCCGCCGGTGAAAACAAACGGCGGCGCGTGCGCGCAGCGCCAGCCGCCGCCCCCGCCCCCGCCCGCCGCCGCCTCCGCGACCACCCCGCGATCGTTCTCCGCCGGCCAGCGCAGCGCCGCCGCCGCCGCCGCCGCCGCCGGTCCATCCCATCCCGTGGCGTGGCCCGCCGTCAGTCTGTCCGCGACCCGCGCGCCTCGGCGGAGGCCTCCGCCCCGCGGAGCCACTGGAGGCGTGTCCCGTCACGTCCCGCCCCGCCCCCAGTCCGCCCCGCCCGCGGCGCTGGTCTGGGCGTCCGCTCCGCCGCTGCAGCCCCGGCGCGCGCGCTGCTCGCCGCGACCTGTGAGCCGCTGCGTTTTTCGCCGCCAGCCGCAGACCCCCCAGTGAGTGCCTGTGCTTGTGCGTGTGGTGGCAGTGGACGTCTGCCTTTATGCAAACGCCGTTTCATGTAGCTGGCGACGATGGGTATGTTTTGGGCGAGGTGATAAATGTGCTTCACGAGAAATATA